AGGCTGCCACTGAAATCCGCCAGAGTAACACTGGTCAAGAGAATCGGATCAGCACTTGCCTTGCACTGACAACCTTCGCCGCTCTTGCGGCACAGTCCCGTGGATCCATCAATTTTCAGGTGTGAGTTCTCACAAACGTAGAACACCGGGTCCTGATCTCGAACATCCGTGAGCCACACACCAGGAACGAAAACCCGGATCTCTTCTTTGAGCGCCTCCTTCGCGTAGGTACGACTCTGGGACGCCGCCTCACTGCCCTGCGAGTCCATCGTGCCCGCTGTCGACGGGACTAGCGGGCAGTTCTTCACCGACGCCAGGCAGGAAACGAAACACGTCCCTGCGAATGACATCTTGGACGAGCCTTGCGCTGTCCAGGGCATCGACATGGACTCTCCCCCCTCTTCCTCGACTGACGCCAGCCGTTCAGCTTGCTCGCCAGCAAGAACGACTTCCACCATGGCACTACCACGCTCGCTGTCTCCGAAAAATTCACCGCTCAGCGAAATAGACTTCCCGTCATGCGTGATGACGCCAAAGTTGAGGATGCGAACCACCTCGCGGAAAGATCCGGATGAACTAGAAGATGCACCCAGACGACTTTCCTCTGCTCCACTGCATGCTAACTTCTTCTTATTTGGGTACACCGGCCTTACCCACTGGTACGTCCTTCAGCAAAGCTGCAAACGTAGACCCCCACATCTCACACAAAACACGCCTGTCGCTGTCGTCCTTCAGCCAAACCTCACCTTTTTCCTCAGACAACAGAAGTTAGGACGGATGTCTTCTACGTGACATGTCGAACATCTCAGCTACTCATATGATGAAGCGAGTTTGCCAAGAGACGTTGCCATCTTTCAAGCTTTTAAGCGTAACGTCGATCACCTTGCCAATAACATCTGCCTTCTGGCCACGACGCATGCCTTCCAACAAAGCAATCTTCGAGTTGCAGGCATAGCCATCACGCAACGCTTCCTGTAGATCTTTGTAAGCAGCATGTACAGGTGGCAAGCCCGACACGGTCGCACCAGATTTGGCCGACAGATCTAGATACCGACCGCCGCTGTGGTAGGCTGATTTTTTGATGCATAGCTTGCTAAACATCACCAACTTGCCACGGTTCATCCTATCAGCCAGCGCCTGCAGGACTGGTAGCGAGCCTATGGCCTCGAACCACATGCCTCCACGCTCGCGATCAATCGCGAAACCAACCATTTTGTGAAAGGCCTTCACCTTCTTCACACGGCAATCCACGATAATAGCCGGCACCTGGAAGGCGCTGCTCCGCGCATCCACCACGCCCGAAAACGCCGCCTCTTGCTGTTTGAAGCTCATGT